CTCACATTTCAGGATGAAAAGACAAACACTTCAGGTGAAGGATAATCCACTTCTTACCTCCGAGACTGTGTTATGATCTATATGACCTTATTATTTTAATTGTGAGTATTAGGCTTATCATTATTGCTGATCACTGTTGTTGTGCTATGATATTGTGATATTTACCATTATATAATCAGAGGGGTATAGTTCCAGGAAATATGTCGTTCAAACCGGAAACCGTAGCAAAACGGTGGGATGTTTGAGCTTGAACTTGCCCCAGGTAGATTTTATTTTAGCAAAAATGACTGCAGGTTTGTTTTTGTTTTTAAATTGTTTAAAATCTCCTGATCAAGCTAAATAAGGGAAAACTTTTTTTTTTTTTTTAAATACATATTAAGATTTAAGCCTTTTAGATGAGCAGTGCCACTATTTTTTTTTAATTCATTAATTAAATGTTACTTCAACACAAGCTCCCAAATCTCATTTGTTTTCACACACATTCAAATATGGCACAGGTTTGTAATCAATGATTATTTATGGGATAAATGATATTTCATGTCTTGGACACCAAACCAAGAGTGTTGCGTCAGTGTTACGTTGCATGAGAGCAAATTTAAGAGAAGATTTTTTTTTTTTTTATCAAAGTATGATTTAAATTTCAGACTTCAGAAGAGTCTAAAGGAAGCACATGGGTGGTATGGATCACTTTTATAACTTGATGGTACTTTTTTGTCATTTTTTAAAGCACAACAGTGTTGTTGTTGTTTATTCCTTTTCATTGTAAGCTAAAAAGCCATCAAGACATTTTATCAAACAAGTCCTACTGTGTCCCACGGCATAAAAAAAAAATCATAAAACTTGGAAAAACCTGAGGGTGGTTAGTAAATTATTTTTGGGTGAACTATTGCTTGAACTTTATTTCAGGGGCTTTTTTGACATTTATGAGGGCATAATTTTTCTAAAAGCATAAAAACACACACATTTATGCCAAATTTCTTAATTAAACCAATGTTTTATTCAAATTCTCTATAACTATGAAACATAAAATAGAAAAATATGAAATGTTACTGATAAAGAACAAATTAATTCATTGTAAGGACATTTTTAGCCCTCCAAATTTTACTTCCAGGGCATTTTTGACACACTCTGTGGCATTTTCACTCCATATACCCCCATTAATTTCTGCCCCTGAAGGTGACTGGTTTTAATGAAGAAACCACAACTCATTGAGGATGAACTTTTACACTAGTAGAACGGAGCGTGCACTCTTTCTTGGAAAATCGATGGCCCCGTCATCACCATCTGGGCTAATTCCATGCAACCATGTTAATTACTCAACATTAATGAGTGTGACCAGCATAGAGAGCCAGCTGGCACATCATTAGAGCATTATTTGCCCAACAATCTTTTAACAGAATAATCCAACGGTACTTGAAATTATGAATAATTACATCTTTTTTGGTCTGCCATCACCTATGCCAAACTACAATCAGAAAGTGTTAATGTTTCCCATCTGCCAATCGGAAGAAGGAAGTGCGGTAATATACTCAGGAACCACTTGAAAATGAAACATTTCATATCCTCGTTCGTTTTTTAATACTTTAATGAGGAACATTGACTACCTCTACACCATTAACTTTTAAGAGGGTGGCAGGAGCGCGCCGGGAGAGCTTTGGCTGGGAGCCGGTCCTTTCAGGCCAAACAATTCTGAATAGCCCAGGAAATCTATTGAAAGTTATTCTGACACACCTTCAAAATGATTTTGTACATCTTAGACACCAAAGGCAGGACCTGCCTCTGCAAGTCATATGAGAGACATAAAAGAGGAAGGGAAAAGCAGAGGAAGAATATGAAGAAAAAACTAACTCCGACACGGCACCCTGAGCGTCTCAATTTGAATTAGCAGGAATCCCATTTCAGGCACCAACAGCTCCATGTCAAGGACAGTGAATTTGGGACTTATTGCTTCGTTTGATGCCAGTCATGGCTAGAGGAAGGCGACACGCTGGCTGTGGCTAATCGTGAGGGTATTACTAGCTACCCTTGTCAGTTTGCGTTGTAATAAAGGAGTAAATTCTTCAGAGCTGAGGCCACATGGCCAATGCCAAGCATCTGCAAGGATCCTTATTTGAACTGACAGGACATACGGAGGCACGTTTTTTTGCCCAAACAGGACAGCTTTTTTGTGTCACGTTCAAAAGTGCTTTACGACATGGGATCTAGGGTACACTAAAATAGGTAAAGATGCCATACTGTGTTTAGGAGCAGAAATCCATCAAATCTATATATATAATAATAATAATAATAATAATAATACAAACATTCTATAATCAGTTACATATTACAATATCACTAATTATACTAAATATTCAAAATATAAAAAATGTCCAGTATTGAAATTAATAAAAAAGAATATTACAGTATTTTCCAAAAAGAAAAAGAAAAACACACATATGTGACCCTGGATCACAAAACTAGTCATAAGGGTCAATTTTTTGAAATTGAGATTTATACATTATCTGAAAGCTGAATAAATAAGCTTTCCATTGATGTATGGTTTGTTAGGATAGGACAATATTTGGCTCCTAATGATTTTTGGCATAAAAGAAAAATCTATAATTTTGACCCATACAATATATTGTTGGCTATTGCTACAAATATACCCCAGCGACTTAAGACTGGTTTTGTGCTCCAGGGTCACATATATATTAATATAGAATTTTATATTTTAGTTCAGACTACAATGTAATGGATCAGAACACTATACTAGTTTAAAAAATCCTTTATAGGATTATATGATTAAGATCATTCGCTTTAACAATAACATTTAGATATGCACTCAAGTCTATAATGTTATTCGTTCTCTGTCCCTTCAAAGCGGTATAAATTTTTTCCTCTGGTGAGATCAGAAACCGTTTAAAGCTTGCATTTAATCACACTGAGCTCATTGCTGCACTTGTTTCCTTCCAAACTGCTTTTCCACTTTTCCTTACAACACTCTTATCAGCATAGGGGGAATAAATCTCATCTTATGATTTTCACTCTCAATTAAGCACTTTGACACGTACACTAAATAATTTCAGCCCTTCTGAGTTTGATTTTCATGCAAGAGGTAGAAAGTTATCGGGAATTTGGCACGCCGCCCTCCTGCGAGCATATAAGGCCTCAGCGGCTCATTGGCAGCAACTGATATATACAAATCACTGATATGAAATCAGTCACCGCAAGCTGTGGAAGTAGATAAAAATCACATTTAAATGTACAATTTAGGTTTATGAGACATTTTGTGAGTGCAACCAATCTGCTCAACACAGATATGGAAAACAATAAACAAAAAAAGAATGTTTACTGGTCTACACATCTTTCATTTTAAACCAACAATAACTATTATATTGATGCTTGCAGTTATGCTATTACTCTCTCACTCAATGGTTTGAATAAAACACTACCATTATTAACTACTGCCAACAGCATACACAATACCACAATCAAATCTGCATATGCAAGTCGCATCATCAAATTTATTAATTTAACTTAATCACACGGGTCTCTAGAATATTTTATTCTGACATGTGTTGATCATGGCATTCTGCAGGGAAATGCACAGAATACATTTACAAAAAAGTTCAAAAACAAAACAATGCAAATATTGCAAAATATGACAAAATATGCCTCTTTGTGTTTGTGCGCATTCCGCGTTTGCAAATCAGTCTGAATGAACAATATACTACTGCGTTAACGGGAAGACTAATTTAAAAAAGTAAACAACAAAGTTATTATTTTGGAGTAAATGTAAAATGCTTAAAAACACTAACTTGATGATATTCATACTTGGCTTTAATAAAAAGAATATTAATTACATTTTAACGTACATTTCTCTCTCCCTCTCTCTTTTTCTGATAGTGTAAGTATGGTTTAGTCCATTTATTTTTATTAATATCTGTTGAGAAAGAGTTCTGCTCCAAATACCATCATGTTTAAATTGATGTCAGTAGTAATAAGCTGTTGTATTTTATATGGTGCGGCTCACCTCATGGAGATTTGACAAGATGAAATCTCACTATAATTTAACCCTTTTATGGTATTATATTATTCATAGAAAAGGTATATTTCTAAATGGCAATCGCAACTAAAGCATTTGCGTGATGCTCCCTCTAACCACTAGGTATTAGTATAATCCAATACGTATGGCAAGTTTGTCTAGTGTAACAAACTAAAACAAAACAAAAAAACTAAGTCTTGAAAAAAGTTGCTTAGTAATCCACAAATAGCATCTAAAATTTCAAGCGCTGGATTCCAGCGCGCACATTAACATAAACGTTGTTAAACTCGCCTCAAGGGGGGTAAACATGTTTACATTAACCGCCGGCTACTTTTTATGGTACTGAGAGACCATGTCATTTATCTTTCTCACTCAGCACATGGAAAGTGTCCTGCATGTGGGGGTAGTGTTCCCAGCGTGCCTGCCTGCATCTGTGGGCCGTTCCTATGCTTGACGTGTCAAAGAACGAGAGAGAATCCAGATGCACTTGTTCACAAACTATGCGCGCTTACCTGCAATGTGCTGAGGAGGACCTCGAGTCCACTGGAGCTCGGCGCCGCCATGGTGGGCCTCGATCGTGCTGAAGAACGGAAAGAGGAAGGAGAAATGAAAGAGAGGTTAGAGTGACACAGAGGCAGCACCTTCTCCCTCTGTGCTTTAACAAGACAGACGGTTACAGTTAAAGCCGAGAGGGGTTCAGCTTGTCGCCTGAAACTCTATCTCCCTCAGATAAACCCGCGGGCTGCTCCAGTTGTGCACGGACATTGAGATGAGGCTCCTATTAAAAGGGCCTGACGAGACACAGGGATTAAACCAAGCCGAGCATTTCACAGGAGAGTGGACACGGCCTGGAGGGATATCAAGAGGCTGAGGAATCTTCTAGTGTGTGCGTGTGTGTGTGTGTGTGTGTGTGTGTGTGTGAGAGAGAGAGATAAAGAAGAGAAGTGAGCAAGAGTGTGTGTAAATGCGTGAGAGCTCATATAGTCAAGCTGTGTTTAAACATGGCCTGGCACTGACATTATAAAGATGATCTATCCCCTGAAATGAATCTCGACGGAGTAAATTAACGTGATTAGTGTGGGAGACACACTCACTGCATGTGTTTTTGTTGCCATCCTGGCTAACAGGGAATGTTGTCAGAACTTTGGCTAATGTTCTGGCAAGGTTCTGTCAAAGTTAAAGGCTCTCCCTCGAACATTACTAGAATGTTAGATGGTCTTTAACAGCGTTCTCAAAACATTAGCACAAAAAAAAACTCATTTAGAGACTGTTCATGGAACTTTTGCTTGTGTTTGTTTTGTTTTCCCGAAACGTTTTAGTTAGACATCCTGGATGACTTTTTAACGTTACTACTTGTTTCAGAACTTTAACTTTTTAAACATTACAGAGAACATTCAAAAGTAATGCTACCATAAAGTTTGCAAAATGGTTTAAATGGATAATTCCCTTAATGTTTTCTAACGTTCATATACATATACATATATATACACATATACATACATATATATATACATATACATATACATATACCCTTTATGGAACGTCATCTGAATCTAACTTTTTTTTAATGTTACTACTTTCTACATGTTTACAGAGAACATTCAAAAGTAATGCTACCATAAAGTTTGCAAAATGGTTTAAATGGATAATTCCCTTAATGTTTTCTAACGTTCATATACATATACATATATATACACATATACATATACATATACATATATATATATATATATATATATATATATATCTCCTTTATGGAACGTCATCTGAATCTAACTTTTTTTTTAATGTTACTACTTTCTACTTGTTTCAGAACATACAGAGAACATTCAAAAGTAACATTTTAAACTTTCAGAGAACATTCAGAAATAACATTTTCATAACCTAATCAAAACAATATATATACACATATACATATACATATATATACACATATACATACATATATATATACATATACATATACATATACCCTTTATGGAACGTCATCTGAATCTAACTTTTTTTTAATGTTACTACTTTCTACATGTTTACAGAGAACATTCAAAAGTAATGCTACCATAAAGTTTGCAAAATGGTTTAAATGGATAATTATCTTAATGTTTTCTAACGTTCATATACATATACATATATATACCATTCAAAAGTAACATTTTAAACTTTCAGAGAACATTCAGAAATAACATTTTCATAACCTAATCAAAACATTCTTAGAACATATTTTTGTTAGCTGAGACAAAAGGGCATCTAATGCCAGGAAAAAACAATGAAATATATGTTTGTGTTACAAAACGCAAAAGGCCTATAGCAGCTTTATTGCTTATCTTGTTTTGGCTTAAAGTTACATTTAGCAGATGATTTTATCCAGAGTGATTTACAAATTAGAATAATGCGTGCAAAAGCAAATGTGATTGGCTAGAAGTTCCAAAAACTTCAAAAGAGGACAATCTTCTACAAGAAAATGTAATTGACTTGTTTGCTTTGGTGTAAAAACATACAAATCCTATGGAAAAACAAATTGCAAAGGAGAACTGTTATATAAACTGCAATGAGAAAAAAATGCAGAGCAAATCCAGATTTTTCTCCTAACAAAAAGACAACCGTATATTCAGAAGAAACCTTAATAAAGTCATTGTGCCCTATTTTTAAATATTATGACATATCTCACAATAGAAAACGTATGATTTTTCACAATTGCAATGTCGTTTTTTATCATTTGTTAGTTTATCTGGGTCATGCCATCCACAATTACTGTACAGGTATGTCACCAATAGTCACTTTTGTTTCTATTTGTATTGCTCCAAAGGAATTTAAGAAAGCAAACCTAGAATAGTCTCCTGAGCCATGAAAGAGCAATAAACTTGTGTTGCAAGGGGTGCACATACAACTAAAACAAAATAATGAGAGAAAACCAATACCTGCAAGTTTGCTTCAGTCTATAAAGCAGGTTCAGGTCATAACGTCTCTATATAGAGATTCCCAGGGCTCAGATATTATTACAGTACAATTGCTTGTGTTCGAGTTATGTTACAGCTATAATTTTCCACATGCAGTGCCACGAGTGTCATCAACATATGACAAAGTGCTTTAACATGGAATAAATATGCAAACATGCGTTCACACACGAATACACAAGTAGCTGTTTGATTTATATAGACGACTCATAGATATACAACCTAAGAGAGACTGCAATCACGTTAATGGAGCTTTCTCATATGGAAACCTCAGTTAATAGCCTATTATTATTAATGTTTTCTAAAATATCATAATAAAATTATAATCTAATTAGTTATAATAACAATAATAATACTACAAAATGACTACTGAGGATAATTGGTACTTGTAACAGTTTTGTGTCTCTAAACACTACACCCACTCTCTTTCTAAGGTTATGCTCCTGCATGAATTGGCATATTCAGAGCGTGATCATGCAAGAACAAAATGCTGACGTTTTGGAAAAAAGCAAGCCAAGCCATCCCAAAGCTCGTGAGTGACAGCTTTTTGGCAAAGCAACATGTGGTGAAAGTGTGCGGGAGGACAGTGTGTTTAATCGATGCCAAGAAACTTTCTGCCTTCAAACTCGATAGGAAGGTTTTTTTTTTAGCCATTTGTTCTAAGTGAAGACGCGCGTGCACACAGCACTTCCAATATTATGTAAAGGAATTAAAATTCTGTCATAACTCACCCTCGTATAGATCAAAACCCGTTTAACTTTCTTTTGTGTCGATCAACTGTGTGTAGAATGGCCACTCGTTTCCATACAATGAAAGTGGGCTGTATAAAGTTACAATGACCAAAAGGCACCATAAAATTATTTAAAAAATGTTCCATATGACCCATTTGTAATCTTCTGAAGCCATACAACAATTTTATGTGAGGAACATACAGACATTTGCGTCATTATTTACTGAAAATCTATTTAACGTTCATGAGAGAAAGCCGCGATGACGAATTTATAATGAATCTTTCTTTTGAATAGAATCTTTCGAATCAGATGACTCACAAATTCAGTCCAAATGATTAATTGGTTCTTGAATCCAACTCACTGACGCAAACGGTGTTGTAATAATGTAAAATATGTGAAAAATAATGTGTTTATCGAACAACCTAGTATGAGAGCCTGTTCTTCTAGTACACCCCCCAAACTAAATCAAGACTTTGTAAAATAGCATAATAGGACCCCTTTAAAACGTAAAGCTAGCTATTGTATAGTTTTGAAGAAAATCCTGCCCACTCGTTTCCACATAATTAAAATGGGTTGTAAAGTTCCAAATGACTAAAAAAACACCATAAATGCATCATAAAAGTGGCCCATAAGACTCACGTGTAATCTTCTGAAGTCATAAGACAATTTTAATTTGAGGAACATACAGAAGTTTACATCATTAATGAAAATCTTCTTAATGTTCATGAGAGAAACTAGCAATGACTAATTTTTAATTCGTTTTTTTTGTTTTTTGTTTTTTGAGTCAAATCTTTTGAATCAGATGAATCACAAATCTGGTTCTGGAGGTGTTGAGTTCAACTCAATGACTCAAACGCAGCGATTTAACGTGAGTTGAATCTTAATTAAAAGCTATAGTATGGCTTCAAAAGACCTATAATGTAACTAGTTGAATAGAATCACTTTTAATCATAGTTTATTGGTGCTTTTGTGTCCATCCCCATTGTAACGTCATAGAAAAGAATGACCACAATTATTACATTTGAGTAAGTAGATGACAACAATTTTTATTCTTGGGTGAACTATCTCTTTAGGGCTGATTCGTCATGGGAATAAAGCAGCACAGTATCTCGACAAATTTACACCCACCCTTCATCTCTCAGACCATATAATTATCTCAATCATGGGCGCAATTTAATCTGCCGACTTACACTATTATGCGGAAGATGACTTAAATGTCCCATCAGGCCAAAGCAAGAATATTGTGTCCGGCTGCAAACACACAGCTATTTATACCACTGTTTTAGGACACTGAACGTCAGTAGAGGACATGAATCCTGCGATGACAGCTGTAGTGCAACTGATGAGATCAAAATGTTGTTTAGAGAAATCAAAGCGAGGATAGTACACTGCAATACTGCAAACCAGACTGACAAAAAGTTGGCCTGAATTGACCACTAATTCATATGGGTAGGTTTTCCATTCAGTAAAAGTGCAATTAGTAAATGTGGGCATCTGTATAGTTCAGTTGCTTTGATACTTTCAACTCGAGATTCAATTTGAGATTGAAAGTACATTTGTGAAAAACTAATTTACCTGACCAGCTCATGGTAAACTCTGAATAGGTCTTAACTTGCGCAGAACAAACAAGAGCAGCAGCACCTGTCATGCCGTTCCATTTGCAGTGCGTCATCAAACCGTTTTGCATTAATGGTCCAATCAAAGAAGAATGTTTATAGTCAGCAGCTGATGAAGGCTTATGTGCGTCGTTTTCATTAGCTGATTCGCTGGCAGTAACCCGAGTCCTTCCTCTACAGTCAGGGTGATTTTGTTTATGTTTAAGAAGCCAAAACAGAAGGCTGTCGGCATACAAAAAGCTGAGTAATCTTTGCAGAGGGA